ACGGAGTCTGGGTTAGGTGAGCCTGAGTGTGGGTGAGTCTGAGTATGGGTACGTCTGTGTGTGCCTGACTCTGAAGAAATGAATCTGAGTGTGAGTGAGCTTGTGTATGAGTGAGTCTGGGTGCGAGTCTGAATCCCAATGGTGCCCCTGGCAGTGTCTGGCGACTAGGAGGCCCGGGTCGACTCCTCTTTGGGAAGCCAAAATGCTGCCCCTGGCAGCGTTTGGTGACTATGAAGCCCCTGGTGGACCCCCCCTGGGGCTCCCAAATGATGCCCCTGGCAGCGTTTTGTGACCATGAGGCTCTCAAGAGAGACATGTTGGGGAGGCCAAACGGCAATTTTAGCTGAGACGTCCCACCAAAATCGGCGCGAACGGGCTCGTGAGATCAGCCAGGGTGGCTCCCCCTTGGGGCTCCCAAATGATGCCCCTGGCAGCGTTTTGTGACCATGAGGCTCTCAAGAGATACATGTTGGGGAGGCCAAACGGCAATTCTAGCTGAGACGTCCCACCAAAATCGGCGCGAACGGGCTCGTGAGATCAGCCAGGGTGGCTCCCCCTTGGGGCTCCCAAATGATGCCCCTGGCAGCGTTTTGTGACCATGAGGCTCTCAAGAGAGACATGTTGGGGAGGCCAAACGGCAATTCTAGCTGAGACGTCCCACCAAAATCGGCGCGAACGGGCTCGTGAGATCAGCCAGGGTGGCTCCCCCTTGGGGCTCCCAAATGATGCCCCTGGCAGCGTTTTGTGACCATGAGGCTCTCAAGAGATACATGTTGGGGAGGCCAAACGGCAATTCTAGCTGAGACGTCCCACCAAAATCGGCGCGAACGGGCTCGTGAGATCAGCCAGGGTGGCTCCCCCTTGGGGCTCCCAAATGATGCCCCTGGCAGCGTTTTGTGATCATGAGAGAGTGTGAGTGTGAGCGAATGTGACTGTGAGTGAGTCTGAGTGAGAGCGAGTCTCATCTTATCTTATCGAGTCCTATCTTATCTTACTTTTATTACCCTCTATCTTAGCTTATCTTGAAATCTCTTTTCTTGTCTTAGCTTATCTTATATCAACTCATCTTATCGCATCATGTCTTGTCTTATATTATTACTCCATAGGCTGTCTTATCTTATATATTATCCGACCTTGTCATATATCTTATCTTACCTTATCATATTTTGTGCTATCTTATCTTATCTTGTAGTATATTATATTGTCTTGTCTTATCTGGTGATTATGATTGGGAGGAGGGAGGCGCGAGCGGGAGGAAGGAGGAAGGAGGAGCAGTGGGAGGCGTCAGAGTAATAACAAGAACCCCAATCCTTAGGATATGGGGAAAAATACATAACACAGATGAGAGAACGAGAGAGACAGAGAGAACAAAAAAAAAAGAGAGAGGCAGACACAGACACAGACAATAAATAGAGATAGAGAGGAGAGAGAGAGAGAGAGAAACAACAACAAAAAACGAAACAACAACAAAAAACTGCCCCGTCGGGGCGAATAGGATACTGGATTGAAGTCCGCGCGAGAACTCCGGCCCGAAAATTGGAACGTCACCACCCCTGAATCGCCTCAGAATTTACGGGCGTGCTTTGGGACACGTAAAGATACTACAGATTCGTGCGCACGAGGCCGAACCCCTTCTGTAAACTACACTGCGCTCGCGCCCCCGATCCCCCAGGCTACGACCCCTGGTACATCACAAAACGCCGGGCCCCCGAGGCCACAGCCCTTCGTACACCACAGCAGCCTCGCGTTCCGGAGGCGTCCTGCGGCTACAGCGTGCGACAAGCTTGCGCCCCCGAGGCCGCAGCCTGTTGTGCACCACTGCGCCGTCGCGCTCCGAAGCCCACAGCCCCTCAGCAACTCACAACGCGCCCGCGCCCCTGAAGCCACGAGCCTTCCTAAACCACGACGTTGCTTGCGGCTTTGAAGCCACAATCGCGCCGCGCCCGCGCTCCTGCGGCCACAGTCCCCAGTCAATGACTTCATGCTCGCGCTCCGGCGGCCACAATCATTCGCAAACCACAACAAGCTTGCGCCCACGAAGCCACAGCCCGTCGTGCATGAATACGCGGTCGCGTTCCCGAGTCCACATCCCCGCGCACGCTGGGAAATATCAGCGTTTTCCAAGGCCACAGCCCTTGGTAAATTTAACAGCGCGCTTGCGCTCCCGAAGCCGCAACACCTTCATACTGTACAACGCGCTGGCGGAATTTTCGCTCCACTCCGGAAGAAAGGACGATGACGGTTTTGCGGCAGGGCAGTTTGCCGATTCCCCACTCTTACTTCCGACATGTGACATCGGCTCATGGGGTCGTCGCTACCGAGACAAATTTAATGCATTGGCGTTCCAAAGGACACGATCCTTTCTGGACATCAGAAAACTCGCGCCCCCCCAAGCCACACGCGCTCCCTGTGTGGAGTATTGCGCACTCGCGATGTCGACCCCACAACCCATTAAACATTACTATTCGGCAGCGCCCCCGAAGCCACAACCGCGCTCCTGAGGCCACACCCCCTTCTAAATCAATACGCCTTCGCTCCCCCGGAAGCGCAATCCCTCTGTGCAGTGCCACGCGCCCGCATTCCCGACGCCACACACCCCTCCCAAATCACAACCAGTTCGCAAGCTCCAGACCATAATATTCAGGATGGGGAAGAAAAAACACAGGCACAATGAATCGGCGACTCCCAGAAAAATATGGGAAAACATGGGAAGTGGGGGGAAGACGAAAACCCAGAAAACATGAACATTTCTTGTTGCAGGAAGCACTGCGACAAGGCAAGAGTTTTCCATGGAATGCTCTCAAGGATGAGTATTTGCAGTTTATGGCCAACGGCCACACGTAATGTGTGAACGTGTGGGAGGGGTGTGTTTGCCGTGAATGTGCAGTCGTCAGCTGTATGTCCGCCTCATTTGGGAGGCGAGCCGCTCCCCGAGCTGCTCGGTCAGACGTTGCGTTGCGTTGCATACATATCAGCGCACTCGCGCCCCCGAGGTTACGCCCCCGCATGAATAATAACAATAGTAGATTCGCGCCCCCTGGACCACAATCCCATGCACATTGCGACAGCTTTGCGCCCCCAAGACCACGAACCCACCCCGTGGAAGCCGCCTGAAAATGCCACCGTGCTTCCAGAGCGGAAGCGTCTTACTCTATGTGTTGGGACATGCCTTCGGGGGGCGCTGTGTGTTCGCAGGGGGGGGGGTCGCCCCCCTGTGGTTTCCTGAGAATCTGGCCCGAGGCCACGAGGCCCCGAGTCTCCGAACATAGCCAGAGGTGCGCACTCCCCGAAGCCGCGGGCCCGCGTAAATTCCAATGAGAGCGCGCGCTCCTAGGGCCGCCATCCTGCATGGATCCTTGCGGTCACGCCGGAAAGGGACCCAGCAAACAGCCTTCATCCTTTGCCAACCATCAGGTTAGACAACGAGGCGTTCGGCCGATATGCCAGCAAGGCAACCGAGAAAAAGACCAACCAACATGCCGACCAAGCGTGGCCATGCTCGGGAGGGGAGCGCGGCGGCAGAGGGCGAAGCCCTTGAAATATATATATATATATATATATATAGGGAAGGAAAAAGAGAAAGAGAAGAAGAGAGAGAGGGGGGGGGAAATACATATATATATATATATATATATATATACAGATGGCAGGAGGAGGAAAGGTGGCGAAGGAGGGGGGAGACGACTGAGCAGGGGGAGGGTAAGGAGCAAGGCGGAGGAAGAGAGAAGGAGCAGGAGGAACAGCACGAGAGCGAGAGGACCAGGCCGACCCAGAGGACCGGGAGGACCAGGCGGCAGGCGTGCGTTCCAGGCGCAGGGATGCCCCACAAGAAGCAGTGCCACACAGGGGAGGCCCATGCCGAGAAGCACCCTGCTTGCCTCCAGGGTGTCCTGGGTTTCTTGGAGTTCGATGGTTTTGCGGTGGAGGGCGTGACGTTCCCACACCAAAAGTCAATGGGCGTCCTGGGGTTCTAGGGTTGGGTTTTATGGCGGAAGGTTTCTTGTGAATTGGCTTCCACTGCACGTTGCGAGCCCCCTTCGCGTCGTGCCCACACGCTCGCGCGCACCATGCGCCGAAACGGGTACGCCAAGGGACCAGCAAGCAGTGATCATTAGGCATTGCGTGTCCGCACCCGGAGTGCCCTCGTTCGGGGACACGAGGCAATACGAGGGAAGGAGGAGGGAGGGAGGAGGAAAAGGAGGACCAGTGGAAACCCAAGTTTCATCAACGATGTTGGAATGAACCCTCCCTCCGAGCTCCTGCTTCAAAGGCCCCTACAAGGGTTCATTTCCACTGAGGGAAGGGCCCCGTTGGGAGACAACCGTTTGAAGATCTTAGAGCTTGCCAGAACAGCATTCTCGAGATTAAAGCACCACACATCAACCTGACAATCGCGTCTTGACGATCCTGAAACGTGCCAGAACGCCACTCCTGGGATGTCAGCACCGCGAATCCACATAACTGTTGCGCCCTGGCAATCCTGAATCGCCCAAAACACCGTTTCTTGTACGTTCACCATGGGAACCCGCTACACGATGACAAACATTTAAGGCGACAGCCACATTTTGAAAAGAAATCGACTTCAATCCGTGAAATGTTTGCGAGTTTTCAAGACGAATGTGGGCGGCGGTAAGGCGTGAGCCACATTTTGAAAACGGTCTGCCCTCAATCCGTGAAAGGTCTGCGGCGCAAAGACGAGAGCCACATTTTGAAAACGACCCGCCATCAATCCGTGAAGCTCTTGCACGTGTTTAGAATGAACGCGCGCGGCGCTAAGGCGAGAGCCACGCTTAGAAAGCCCGCCGTCCATATGTGAAATTGCTGCCACCTAAATTGAGGAAGCCTCTGGCGAAACGCTCAGTCCGCCCCCTCCTACTGGTCTCGGGGCGCAACAGGGAGGAGCTATGTATAAAGAGGAGGAATGAAGGAAGAGGAAGACAGGGATGGGGGGGGCAAGGGGGGTCGCCTCCACACCCCCACACATTCCCCACACCGCCCAGGAGTTGGCCGAGCTCGCCGTCGGTGGTGGCGCAGGTGTGGGCACCGCCCCGCCCGAGGCCGCCCGGTTGCCAGCAGGAGTATGTTGAGAGGGAGGAACCAGGACCCCACGGGCGGGGAGAGGTCGCGCATTACTTTCCATCATTCCCTCCCCGCTTTCGCACACTGTTTTTCCAGGTACATCGCGTCTACGAAAGTTTTGGCGAATTTGGCTCAGTCACCTTCGTGGAGGTGACGGTGGAGTTTCTGGCGGCCCCTCGTTCGGACCCCCGTCCGGAAAGCGGTTCCGTGTTTCGTTTGTTCCCATTCTCTTTATCGCCCGAATGAAATCGGTGTCGTGTTTTTCCCGCTTCTTATCTCGATGCCGCCAGTCGGGTTGACTCGGCCATGCGATAGCGATGTTGATGACGACGGCGATGCGGCGCCGTTGCGCCTTGTTCCCATGGTGTATCGGGATCTCCGCGGAAAAGTATCAAGGAAAAAAGTCGCGCCTCGAGCTCATCGTCGCCCGCGGGAACTCGGTTTCACGTGTCTCGCGCCTCTGATTTCCTCATCGGCCGAAGGGGGGTCCAGGTCGACCCCAACAGGCTTTCCGTATCAATGAAGAACAATTGGTGCACGACCCCGGAACACGGTTTTGCGGTCCAGCCCGAAGGTTTTCAGGGGGGGCGAAATTGCTCAGACGCCCCCCGCGCATGGATTTACATCGTTTGGTGGCGGTTTCCGATGAGCGCGCCGATTGAATCTCCAAATGTTCAGATCGACCAGAGCAAACCTTCATTGTAAAAACACTTGATGTTGCGTGATGTTTCAGGTCCAACCTAAAAACTTTCAGGTCGACCTGAAAATGCCCAGGTGCCTCGCATGTATAAAATAAGACAGCCCGATGACGTTTTCAGGTTTCTACACCGCGTGGTACCATTTGGACCTGAAGATTTTCAGGTCGATTGAACGTACTATCCGTGTGAACAAACAATGGATGAAGCGCCCCGGAAAAACAACCTGAACAGTTTCGGGTCGACTTGAAAGTGCCGAGGACCCCCCAGTGGCATTTTCAGGTGTCTATACCGTTTGGCGTTTGTAATAACATTGGGCCTGAAGCGACCTGAAAATATGTCTCCCCTTCCGGTTCCGCCCAACTACACTACTGGCGTGCCCAATGACATTGTACTGGGCCCCGTGCGCCTAACGGAGGTTCGTAATTCTGCTATGGCCCACTCACTCTGGTTTTCTCATGCTCATGCTCATGCTCATACTGATGCTCTCGCTTCTTCATGCTCGTGTTCGCATGCTATGGCACACTCACTCTCGCTTGCACTCGCTTGCTATGCTCATGCTCATGGCCCACTTGTTCTCAGTTGCTGATCATATGGCCCTCAATCTGCAGACGCGCATGCTCATGCTTGCATTTTTCGCGAAACGTTTGTTCAGTATTGTCGTAAACATGCGTAGGGACAGACTGTGGATCTTTCACGCAGTCAGAGGTCGAGCGAGCGAGGGGGGAGGAGCCTGAGGAGGAGGAGGAGGAGGAGGAAGGAGAAAAAAAGGGATGAGGAGGCTTCCAAAGGTCGTCTCTGGAGTGCTCGTTGGTTGTAGCTCCACGGCCCTCGGTAACATATCAATTGGGAATGGAGCAGACATCGTTGCGGGGTTTTTGTAGAACAAGCCAGCCCCTGACAATCACAACACAGCAAATGGTGCGCCTGCAAATATTACGCCACACAGACCCTCTTCACCAGAAGCGGAGGGTCTGAAAATTAGACTTGCATGGCACATGATTTGCAGAATACCGAGCCTCAATGATAGGGTGCTTTCAAAATTACAGTCATTGCAGCGGCAGTTACGAGAGGATGGTCGCCATGAGGCGACTCACGCGCGCAGCCACTCCTTGCATGGTCAATGGAATGATTCTGAAGGCCTTACGGATGGCGCCGCCGACCCTGAAGGCGGGACCTCCCCCGGGACCCCGGTGCCCCATGCAGGGAGCCTGGGGCCGGAGCCCAGGGCCAGGGCGCCGCGACTGCGGCTAGGGCCGAGGCTGGGTCGGGGCCGGGGTCGGGGCGGGCGGGGGCCGGGGCCGGGGACAGGACCAGGGCTGCCCCCCCCCCCCACGGACCCCCTCCCCGTCCCCCCCGTCCACATGTGGGACCACCCCGCGCGGAACCCCCGGGGGGCGGCAAGCTGACCCGGGATCCCTCTCCCCTAGTTCCCCCCCCCGTTCCCCGGCAGTAGTCTCTACACCTTGGTCGGAAGGGTTATATACCCCATTTTGACCGGGGGACACCCCTGTGGAATGTAAGCTTCGGAAGACCTTCCACAATGTATGTTGATTGCAAGCCATTTTCAGGAAGTCTGGATTGCCAGTGGTGCGCCTCGAAGAGGCCCCCATGGTATCCCGGGAAAAACAGCCGGGGGACAACCCATCCGCAGCAATAGTATTTTGAGCGTGCGGCTCCTATGTGAATCGCAAACTCATATTTCCGAGTAGACGATGTGAGTCGTTTACGGTTCCTGTGTGGCACGCTTACGAGCCCCATTTGAACCGTATACGTTCGAATGTGAGTCCTATCCAAGTCCGATGTCAATCGTATACGATTCCTATGTGAATCGTTCAGGAAACCTATGCGAATCGCATACGAGTCCAATGTGAATCGTATACGGTTCCAATGTGCATCATCGACCGGGAATCGTATGCATGTCCATGTGTATCGTATACGCGTCTTGTGGATCGCGTACGATTCCGTTGCGGAATCGTATATGACTCCCACGTAAAGCGCGTTCGAGTTCGATGTGGGTCGTATACGACTCCTGTGTGATTTCCAAGCGACTCCTATGTGAATCGCATATGGTTCCTACGTGAATCGTATACGAGTCCTATGCGAATCGCATTAAATTTATGCGTAAACTGTGTTTCTGTGATTCGTCTACGACTCCGATGTGAATCGTAGACGAGTCCTATGACAATCGTATACGATTCCGATGCGAATCGTATACGATACTTGTTTCAACGGTACACGGTTTCAATATGAATCGGGGACAGTTCCCATGTGAAACGCGCACGCGTGTTGTGTGAATCGTATGAATGGTATACGATTGTTATGTGAGCCGTATGCAACTCAAAAATGTGAATCGTCCACAAGTCCATGTGAATCGTATTTAGATCTTATGTGTATCGTATACGTTTCCTGCGTGAATCGCATACGAGCCCCGTGTGAATCGCATACGAGTCGTGCGCGAATCGAATCGTATACGAGTCTTGTGTGGGCCGTTTATTACGGTGCCCATGTGAATCGTAGACGACTCTCATGCGAATTGCGTACGCGTCCTATGTGAACCGTACGCGGTTCCTATGTGATTCGTATACGATTCATGTGAACCATATACGATTCATATATGTTTCGTCTGCGATTCCTATGTGTATCGCATGCGGATCCTATGTGTATCGCATACGATATCTAAAGGAGCCGTAAGGAACCCGAAAGGAATCCGCAGGAACCCCACGCATCCCCTGGGAAAACTAGAGAATCCGACGCAATCCTAAAGAACCCGCAGGCTTCCCAAGGAACCCCCGAGGATCCTCAGGCATCCACAGGAAACGCTCCAAACTCGAATATTTGGGGAATCCTCAGAAATCCTTTGGAATCTCGAAACGGATTCAAAGGAACCTTGAAGGCACCCCAAAGATCCTTAAGGGACCCGAATAACACTTAAGACACCTTCAGGAACTCGAATGGCCCGCTGAGGTCCCAGGACCAGAGCCCAAAAGCGGCGAAAAATCTACAGGACCCGATTCCCTCAGAATTCTTTTCTTTCATGAGCCGTAAGGAAACGGTCATAGAGAGCGAAGGGGCTGGAACGGCCACGGCGAATCTCGGCCACAACAAGGTCTCCAGACTCTGACCCACAGAACGGTTCGGGAATCGCAGCCCATCCCGCACAAAGGTATTCCTCCGCCTCTTCCTCCGCGTTTTCCTCCTCCTCCCCCCCCCTCGCCCCCTCCGTCCTCCCCCCCCTGCCTCTTCCCAGGCGCGCCGCCCTGCTTGCGGGCCGTCGGTAAAGTCCCGCGTCGACGATGGCGAGGAGGGAGGAGAACGACGAGGAATGAGTGAGGAGGGAAGAGGAATACGACGAGTGTTCGGCGTTTGGGGAACGGTGTTCGAGGTTTGGTGTTTGGAGTTTCGTCTTAGGGGTTTGGGATTTGGGGTTTGGTGCTTGGCGTTTGGTGTTTGGCGTTTGGGGTTTGGGGATCGGTGTTTGGTGCGTTGTGTTTGGGGTTTGTTGTTTGGCGTGTGGGGTTTGTCGTTTGGGATTTGGTGTTTGGGGTTTCGGGTCTGTTGCTTGGGGTTTGGTTTGCGGTGGCGTTTGTCGTTTTGGGCGTGCGCGCGCGTCTTGCCTCGGAGGTTTTGACGGCTCCAACCGGGATATAGCCCAATTTTGCCGGGGTGAAGTTTGCCCAACCGGGGTATGGCCCATCCAACCAGGGCATGGACTTCGGCCTCCGTACCCCCCCCACCCTTCCCCACCCCACCCCAACCCCACCCCCCTTATCCTCACCCCTTCACCGCCCACCCACCCCCGACAGGGAAGGGAAAAAAAGGACAGGATGTCTGCTTAATTACGACGTTGATTCCCTACCTAGGCTCTGCCTAGAAGGGTTCTTACCCTCTAGCTTAAAGGGGCCGGGCAGTGGAAAGCGCCCCGGGCGGTTCCCCCAGTGCCCGCCCCGCGGTTCCCCCAGTTGCGCCCCCTGGGTTCACCCAGCCTAGCTTAGCTTAGCTTAGCTTTGCTTAGTTTAGCTCCTTAGCATAGCTTAGCTTAGCGTTGCCTAACCTAGCTTAGCTTAGTTTAGCTTAGCTTAGCGTATCTCATCTCAGCTTAGCTTAGCCTAGCCTAGCTTAGCTTAGCATAGCATCGCATAGCTTAGCTTACCTTATCTTAGCGCGGCAAAGCGCAGCGCAGCATTAGCACAGCATATCATAGCATAGCATAGCCAATCATCGTATAGCATAGCATAGCAAAGCTCAGCATCGCATAGCATAGCATAGCATTGCTTAGCATCGCACAGCGCAGCATAGCATAGCATAGCATAGCATAGTGTTGCTTTCCTAGAGGCTCCAACTCCTAGGTAGGGTCGCACTGGGATAATTTGCTCTGTTCGTTCTTCACAATTGTTTCGGGATTGGCGACGGCGACGACGAAGACAACTACAGCGTCTCACACACGCCGAACGGTCGGCGGATCATTCCCAATTCAGGAGATTGGTTTGAAAAACTATGTATACATAAACATGTGTATAATTGCACGCGTGTCGATGTGTATGTATGGTTGTAGACGTATGCAATTGCAGCTGTAACTGTATGTGTGCATGTCCCTGCGTCTGTATATGGGCATGGGTACGTATATGTCCACGTATATGCTTATATGTATATGTGCGTGTTTATGTATACTCCACTGTATTAGAAACATGTATGATTGTATGTATGTTTGTCTGCGTGCGTGCGCGCGCGTGCGAGCGTGCGCGCGTGAGTGCGCGTGCGTTCCAGGCCCGTGGTGCCGACAAGCTCGGACTGCATCACAGCTCGAATACGGTGAGCAATGTTGAAGCGGGATGTGAATCAACATGCAGACGCAGAAGTTGGAGCGCGAGATCCACCCCGCTCCTAGCCTCATGATCGGCAAAAGAAACGCACACTCAGCTTTGCCATGCTTTCTGCTGAGTTGGGCTGGGAGGCCCAGACGAAACGCGCGTCGGGGTCGCCCCTTGGAACTGCCCGCGCCGTCCCAGATCCACGCTGGATCGTGGTGTTTCGCTGGTACCGCGACGCTCCGCGGTGCTCTTTCTTGGGATCGATACTGGCTCTCCGATGGGGTGGAAAGAAGAGGGAGGATGAGGGCAAGGAGGGGCGGAGAGGGACGTCGGAGGACGATGGCGAAGATGGAGAAGAAGGAGAGTGGAAAGGAGAGAGGGAGGAGGGGGGGGGGGGGGCAAGGGGAGAAGGAGGGAACGAGGGGGAGGAGGAGGGAGGCACGACGAGGCGGAGGACAGGGAGGAGGAGGAGGAGGAGGAGGAGGAGGAGGAGGAGTCACGGAGAGGGAGCGCGAGGAGGGCGAAGAGGAGGGCGCCCCTGGCCGTGGTCGATGCCTGGGCCCCTGGGGCCGGCGCCGCGGCAGAGGCGCCCCCGCTGGCGGAGCCGCCTGGCGCGCCCTCGCCGTCCCCCGACAGAGAGCCGGGGCGGCTGGCTCAGCTCTGGGGATTCGCCAGGGGGGAGAGACCTGGGGATCCAGCAGTGGCGAAGCGTCCCGGCTCGCCTCTAGCCCTACCAGACTCTAAGAACCGTGTGTGGTTTCCACGAAATGTTCTTAGAACATTTCTGGCTGGGGCTGTCTCGTTTTAACACATAAAGCTTAAGTTATAAGAACAGGATAGTTGTTCATAGAACATTTTGGGGTTCTAAGAAGATTTCGTGGTAGGACTATAGAAATGCCGGGACGGTCGGTCCCTGCTCAAAGAGATCCAACTTATTGAAAAAATCAAGATGCCGGATTTTTTCTGCTTTCGGCCTCCAGGGGCCCCCGCCGGGCCCCAGGACCGCCAAAAAACGACTCAGGATGAAAAACCGGTCCCAGGGAAAAGGCGAGATTTCAGGGGACCCCGCATTGAGAAGATCATGACATCGGATCTTTGGGAACAGGTCCTGACGGAAACGGGTCCTAAGGTTTCCCCTCCACGGGCCCCGGCACCTGTCAGCAAACGGCTCGGGGTGAAGAATTGGTCTTGGGGGGGAGGCCCCAGGGGCCAGGACCCGTGGCCCTCAGGACCCGCCTCCCCCGTGCAGAGAGGGCGGGTACGACCGAAACGGATGCGGAGAGGAGGGTAGCGAAGGCCGGCAGCAGCGCCCGCGAATTTTGAGCAGGACCCGTTATCGGTGTCGCCGCGGGCATGGTCCGCGTGGGACAAAGAGTCGCCTGTCCGACAGCGGCCGCGCTGCTGAGTCGGGACAGAATGCATGGTCGGGCATCGTACCCACATTTTCCGTGCGTGTTCCGGGCGTGCCAAGAGGAGGAGAGACGAGGGAGGGGAGGGGGGAAGGGGGAGGGGGGGAGGAGGGGGAGGAGGGGAGGAGGAGGGAGGATTGTGAGTACAAGTGTGGGCCAACCCCGAACGCCTATATGGGGACAAAGGGGGCAAATAGCTTCTGAGCATGAAACATGTTGTGGTTATTTCGCCTCTCCGCGGAGTTTTCCTGTTGCTATCAGGACCCCAGGTCCTCCCCTGACTGTTGGCACGGCGCACGCGCCGCATGCTCGCCTGAAACCGGCTCGGGCGAATGGTTTTTGGAAGGGATGGGCTTTTACGCCAACTGCAGGCTTGGCAGACACTTTTTGCGTCGGCAGCTAGGCAGGGGTCGTCTGCGCTGGCAAAAGGAGCTAACTAAACGGGGGCGCCGTCGTAGCAAATTGGCCAACATGCAAGAGCGGGAAAATGGGACAGAGGAGGCGGCAGGCTAGACACACACACACACACACACACACACACACACACACACACGCGTTCTGGTCGCAGCGGCGAGGATCCACACCGCGTCCGAAGGCAACCGTTGGATGCAACGGGGCCTGATCTGGCACAACAGTGGAAGGAAGAGGCGGGGCGCACGGAACGGGAAAGGAGCACGCTCGGAGTATGAAGTTGCTGAACGTGGGTGCCAGAGCGGGCCTTGCAGTTCCCGCACTGGGCCCCGCCCCGCCTCAGCAGATGCACACCGGCGGAGCTGCCGCCTCAGTCCCCGCCGGCGGGGCTGGCCGCGCCAACGCACCCAGGAAAGTGATCCGTCCCCCTTGAGTGGCCCTCGCCTTGCCTCCCCCTATCTGCGGCCGCCTGCTCTGTCCCACTTCCCCGCTCTTGCACGTTGGCCGATTCGCTACAACGGTGCCCCCGTTTAGTTAGCTCCTTTCGCCAGCGCAGACGACCACCTGCTTAGCCGCCGACGCAAGAAGTGCCAGAGCGGGCGTGCACACCAGAGATGCGGCCGTTCATGGCGGAGTCGACCTCGAGCTAAGGGCCACAATCTCGGACGCTGCGAGGAAGCGATGCAAGAATTGATGTGTTTCAGTACCGCCCATGGGTGAGACCCAAAACCAGGTGCGACCACCAAATTCGACAGGAAGCGAACGGTTAGAATGAGTTCAGGTCATGGCTAAAGCCGCACGAGCAAGCGAAAGTAGGCCGTGTTGCATAGGCGAGGCAAGGAACCCAAAAATCGAATACCTGAGCATAGGGTTCACGAGCACGCGCAAAATAAGCGTGTACCAGGCGCGCCGGGGTGGATGTGTCGCTGCGCCGTTTGTTCCGACGCACGGCCTTCCGCCTTGGGGGGGGCGCCGCGGCCACCAGGGCGAACGCCGCCTCGGACGCGGTGGGCTGGCCGTCGGGTCTGCCGCGGTGCCGGCTCTGCCTATTTGGGGCACGGGACGCAGTGTTTGCCGTGGGTTCGCCGTGGTGTCGGCGTCGTCCATTTGGGCGCGTCGAGAACAAACGGCGCGGCGACAATTTGACGAACGGGGCCAAGCCGATTTTCTCCACGAGTAGCGGCGGGGCCAAGCAGAGCCGCATGGCGCCGGGGCTGCAGCAATCGGAGGCCGTTGGGGCCAGCGAGCCGCTGACCGTGGGGCACAATGTTGCGGCCCGCTTGGCGTCGCTCGGACGTGTGCATTTTTCTTCGGCGAGGACCATCGAGGAGCATTTGGGGCCATCTTGCGAGAAAATATTCGCGCGAAGCCGAGAAATGCACGGGGAATGGACGTGCGAGTGATGGCGAGCCCGAAGGGAGGGGGGGAAGGGCGGGAGGGAGGAGAGGTGCGAGGGCGGCGGAACGCCAGCATGTACCAGGGGGGGCAACAAGCCCAAGCAGCGTATGCAGAACGAGAGTCAGGGAAGCAGAAAGCCCGAGCGACGGTTGGAGAAGGACGTGATAATGTAGGTTTTCGCCGGTCGGCGCGGGCCTCCGGCCCCCTGCCCCTCCCCCCCTTCGTAGACCAGATCTTGGCTGCTTTGGGTGGCTGCTTTTGGCGAGTGGTCAGGACCCCTGTTCCGCCCGTCTGCTTGCGCGACTGGCAAAAGCAGATCGACGAAGCACTGGCCCAGACCCAGGCCCCCCCTCTTCCTTACCCTTCGGCCAAATGTCCACACCCAGCTGGAAAAGAACACCTGCAAGCCCAAGCGACGGTGGGGGCAGGACGTGAGGCATGCAACAGCCAACATGCACCAGGTCCACGTACGCAGCGGGAGGGGGAAGAGCCAGAAGCGGAGGACCAGGGACGTACAACTCGGCCCAGAGGCCGTGCAGGGCGTCATCAGGGCAGGGGGCTGCGTACAGTGGAAGCCCATGCCACGCCCTGGGCTTCTCGGGTTTCGATGGCTCTTGGTGTGGAAGGCGCGACGTTCCCACACCAACAATCAAGGAACGTCCTGGGGTCTCAGGGTTGGGTTTCTTGTGGAAGGTCTCTTATGGACGGGCCTCCACTGAAGGCCGGCAGGCGGGCAGAGGGGCGCGCAGGGCCCCGAGGAGCCCGCGCGCGCGGGGTGCAGGTGCCCAGACCGGGGCGCACAGCCCGGGGCGCCCAGGCGACTGGCGAGCCGGGGGGCCCATGCGCCAGGCGGCGAGCTGTGGCGCAAAGGAATCAGCGATGTGCCGGCGGGGCCCGGGCGTAGAGGGCACCAGAGAGGCCTGGCGAGCGCGAGGGGCGAAGAGCCAGGGCTGAAGGGTTTCTCCGAAGGGCTTGAGGCAACCCCTCCTCCTCCTCCTCCTCCTCCCTCCTCCTCTCCTCCTCCTCCTCCTTTTCCTCCCTCCTCCTCCTCCTTCTCCTCCTCCTCCTCCTCCTCCTCCTCCTCCTCCTCCTCCTCCTCCTCCCCCTCCTCCATCCCTTCTCCTTCTAGATAACTTCTCCTTGTCGCACCCCGAAGCAAGTTTTTAGGGCGGGCCAGGCGTGTCGCCTGAGACCTCTTCACCACTAGTGACTCTGAAGCTTTAAAAGTGTCAATATCTTCACAGATGGAGGGCGGGTCGTTATCAAAATGTGGTTCTCGCCTTAGCGCCGCGCACATTCGTTTTGAATATCTGCAAGACTTTCACGGATTGAGGGCGGGTCGTTTTCAAAATGTGGTTCTCGCCTCAGCGCCGCGCACATTTGTTTTGACAATTTGCAAGAGTTTCACGCATTGAGGGCGGGCCGTTTTCAAAATGTGGTTCTCGCCTTAGCGCCGCGCATATTCGTTTTCAAGATTCGCAAGAGCTTCACGGATTGAGGGCGGGTCGTTTTCAAAATGTGGTTCTCGCCTTAGCGCCGCGCACATTCGTTGTAATCATTTACAAGAGCTTCACAGATTGAGGGCGGGTCGTTTTCAAAATGTGTTTCTCGCCTTAGCGCCGCGCAGATTCGTTGTACAAATTCGCAAGAGCTTCACGGATTGAGGGTGGTTCCTTTTCAATATGTGGTTCTCGCTTTAGTTCCGCGCACATTCGTTTTAAACATTCGCAAGAGCTTCACGGATTGAGGGCGGTTCTTTTTCAAAATGCGGTTCTCGCCTTAGCGCCGCGCACATTCGTTTTAAGTATTTGCAAGAGCTTGATGGAGTCCCATGATCAACGTACCAGAAGTGGTTTTTGGAAGAATTCTGGATTATGCGGGCGCAACGGTTATGTTGATTCGCGGTGAGTCCCAACAATGGCGTTTTGGCACGATTCCGGATCGTCAAGACGCCGCAGTCAGGTTGATACGTAGCGTTGAAAACCCGAGAACAATGTTTTGGTACGTTTCAGGATCTTCAAACGGTTGTCTTCCAACGAGGCAGTGCCCTCAATGCAAATGAACCGTTGTAGGGGCCTATGAAGAGGGAGCTTGGAGGGAGGGTTAATTTCAACATCGTTGATGACCCTTGGGTTTACACTGGTCCTCCTCCTCCTCCTCCTCCTCCTCCTCCTCCCCCTCCTCCTCCTCCTCCTCCTCCTCCTCGTCCTCCTAGGAGAGACAAAGAGGCGAAGCCTCGAAGATTCACGGACGTGCCGACAAAGGAGCGCAGCTCGCTAAATACGCCGGACGTGTGAAAAGGAGTTGCGTCAAAATACAACGCGAGTCATGCTTGATGGACCCTCTCTTTTGGCAGATCTGGGATGCCCACTCCCCGAGAAACCTTGCCAGGATAAAGTGGCAAGAAAGACAAAAAGGGGGCACGAT